GAATATTTCAAGAATTAAGAAGTATCTACCTCGAAATTGCTTAGAAATAATTATTCATGCATTTATAACTTCAAGACTGGATTATTGTAACTCCCTGTTGTATGGTGTACCCAAATATTTGCTTCAGAAACTTCAGAGAGTTCAAAATACTGCAGCTCGTTTACTAACTGATACTAAGAAATCGGCGCATATCACCCCAGTTCTTATCGAATTGCATTGGTTACCTGTCCAATACCGTATTCAATTCAAGATTATACTTCTTGTCTACAAAGCTGTTAATGATCTTGCTCCATTGTATCTGAAGGAACTTATGCTGTGTCGTACTTCGCAGCGTACTCTTCGATCAAATGGAAATGAATTGCTCCAGATTCCTTATTCTAGACTAAAGACATACGGAGACAGATCGTTCTGTTTTGCTGGACCAAGATTGTGGAATGATTTACCTGTTCATCTTCGGATGTGTGAATCATTAACCATTTTTAAGAAGTTTCTTAAAACATATCTTTTTAACTTGTTTTTAAATAGTGTATGATGTATTCTATAGTTTTAACATTCTTAACACTAGTTTTTAAGATTGGATTTTGTATTACTGTAAAGCGCCTAGAACAGTCTTGGTTTGTGCGCTATATAAATGTTTATTATTATTATTATTATTATATTGCATTGTGTAAAAACAATTTAATTGTAAAGGGTCTCAGTACTATAGGATCTGTGTGAAATTCCAGTAGTTTGTTACCAAATACTCATTTAGTGTGTTGATTTACATAAACTTTAACTTTGATTTTTTCGGCTTTATAGACAATGTTTATTTTTAAAATTACTTCACCAATGAACTCATAAGATGAGCCATTTACAACATTCGCGTCCATTTTTTGTTCAGTCACAATATAAAATTGTATATATATAAACTTTTAATAAATAGGATAAATCTATCAGCCTAATCACAAAAAAATGTATTGGTTATAAAACATTGTTTGTTGACTGAATACTGCAACCTGCTGAGATCATTTTAGCTTTGTCTTTTCTTCATGGAGTAAATCAGGCTTTTAGGTTTCAAGAAATTGTGACATTGTTATATGTTCTGCCCCTCAAAAATACAGATCAATTAATAAACAGCATAATATGTATATTTTATGAGACTGACTGCTTGACACACGCCTACACACATTACAATTGCATTAAAATACACTACAGTACTGCTTACAAACTTTTACTTTAGTCATTTTACAGTAACAGAAAGACAAAACTATTAAGAAACAAATGAATTGAGGGGCCGACCATTTAACTTTTGAGGGGGGTGGGTGATTTACTGCTGGCAGGGAATTTTTTTTTCTGGGATCGTTATGTGCAAGTTTTTTTCTTCTATCCCATCACCATGTACGATTTTTTTTTTACCACTCTTTCTTTTGCAGCATTTTTTTTCAATAGCTTATACTATTTAGATTCTTTAATTATAGTTAACATTGAGTTTTCTAGCTTCATGCATTGCTTTTAATAATACATATTGCTATGAGGTATAACATTTGGTTCAGGACCTCTTTTAAGGCAGGGCCATAGGAAGCTCTTTTTGATTCGGGGGGCTGAAAGCGAGGGCCGAAGGCCCGAGGAAATTTTTAAATTTAGAGTCTCTGAAATGCCATTTCCTGGACATTGGGGAAGATTTGACAGAATTCTGATGGTCAGAAAACAGCGTTTTAGTATGTTGAAATTTACAATTTAGTAGTACTAAATGGGCGAAGGCATATTTAATTAACTATATATTGGATAAGTTGCAGGAAAGTATGGGTAATATCTTCATTCTTTGCAGTTTGTCATGGATTAAATGATAAAGGTCTGCATGATTTTGAAAATGATTATTAGCAAAGGCCCTGTAAGGATGTGTAACTGGAAGGGACATATTTAGCGGGGGACCTGGAGAAGTTCCAGTCGGCAAGTATGTGTTGCTGCAGCTACCTGCAGCATATGTATTTATGGTTTAACTAATAAGTATGCGCCATAGGGCAGCAGATCAGGCCATAGTGATACCTAGGATTCTAAGACAACCGAGTCAACCATCAAAGGTGGGAGCCTCTAGAAGGGTCTGGGGGCATGCCCCCCAGAAAATTTTGGATTTCTTGAAGCTCACTTTGAGGAGTTTTCCAACAAGAAATTAACCTTACACTAGTCCCTGAAAATCAAACCAGCTGATCTTCTGTGACTGGTCAAATCGATCCCTGCAACCATGGTGTTTTGCAACATTTTCCCACCAAATAATGGGGCAGGATATTTTTCCCTCAGTTTGTTAGTGCAGGTATTTTTTTTGTTCAGAATAGCCTTGCAGGAAATTTTTTTCAAACTCAACCCCCCCCCCCTCAAAAGTTAAATGGTTGGCTCCTAAAAACAAAGCAGTGACAACAGTGGAGTAATGACCATGTATACAGATAGATGAGTTCTGTTAAGCAGTACTTGCAGTATTACAGTAATTAACTAATGAGTAAAATCATCTGGCACTAGATAGAGCAAATATTAATGTGGGTTTAAATGCTTTTGAAGGCTTGATTTCAACCTGCATTTTTGTTACAACCATTTTTACCTCATACGAGGCAGTTAAACTTTATTTGGCAAAACACACTAAATGAGTATTTGGCAACAAACTACTGGAATTTCACACAGATCCTATAATACTAGAGACCCTTCACAATTAAATTGTTTTTATACAATGCAATATAATGCATATATATACATGCAACTGAAAGTAACTGTTTGCAGCATTGTTCCATCTTCACTTTATACTGTCTATAGGATCTAAAAAGCACAGAGATGAGATACCATTATTTTACAACTTTCAATTTCTTTCAAATTTATTAATTTTAATCTGCTTCTTTGGAATAAAACACCATAGAGGTCTTCTCAGAAGAGTGATAATTAATCATGACTATGACTTTAATAAGGAAATAAATATTACACAAGCAGGGATGGGATGGTATACAGTATATTCTCACAAGACAAAACGCACCTGCTATTTTTTCTACCATCCTGAATCATCTGTTCCTTTTTTAACAAATCCCACAAGCGACATAACTTGTTTGCGGTGATATGAGTATATTATGATCTTGTCCATATTAAAATTCACCATTTCCAAAACAATAAAGTTCATGACCAATTACCTCATTTCTCATGTGTTAACTAATGGTATAATTCACCGATCTCTATCAGAAATTCCCATTTAAAAGGTGTTGTCACGACTGTATTCATGATTCATCTCAGTCGCACTCAGAAACGTCGTCAAAAAAACAGACACGTTTCTTTACGATTGAGTTCATTTGAATGTAAAAGAGGTCCCCAACATTCTTGAACATGTGCTTTTGCTTAAAATAACATATTTGACTTGATTTGTTCCTCTATTTCGAGAGAACAGAACAAAACAGTTGAAAATACCATATTAATCACAATAGCTCACTCCTCAAGGTGGTCACAGTAAGATGGCGGCCGCGCGCGACTTCCTGCTTCAATTTCTGTATCTATAGTTGCGCTCTCCATATATTTATAGCTCAATGACCGAAACATCGTTGGTGAGCCACGCCTGCGATGATTGATGAACTTTAGACTTCGCTAATGCTTTCGTTTCCCCAGGTGTAAATAGCCGGGGGGGAATTAGTACCCTCGCACGGCTCGGGGACTAGTTTAATTTAATTTTTAATTCACGCGGCAGTAATTTCAATTATCCCAATTGATCTCACTGTCATTTGTGAATTGGTTCGACAAAATGTCCGATTCGCGTTCTATTAAAAGGTTCGCTAATAGAATTTCGGAAATTCAGTATCAGCGTGGCGAAGGTTGTTTCCCGATCTAATCGCAATGGGGAGGGCTAGTTCTCCTTCTAGGTCTGAGTAGAAAAGCAGCCGTATTCGTGTTAATCTCAGGTTGTTACACTCGGCTTTTTGAAAGTTTCTCGATTTTAAATATTTACTTCTATGGCAATAATCAATTGGTTCAGTACAGGTATTTGAAATTGCTCTCAATTTCGCAAAACAGTTATTAGTATCCAGTTTTTGATATATATGGCTTCTTTGTGTGCTTATAATGTAGAATAATAAAAATTCTCGAAGACAAATTTTGTAAACCAGGGGGTGCGTCTTTTCCGACAAACTAAAAATGGCTTCCGCACGAGATTTAAAACCTATAATGGTATTCTGAGTTAATGGATGAAACATGTGTTGGGTGTTTAATTGCTGCACGAAATTTCAAACAATTTGCTTCAGTTTAAGCCCTTCAACTATTCACGCAAACTTACATTTTTCCTGAAAAATCAGCAATTTGCATGCTTAATTGATAAAAATATGCCCAATTTGCGTATGTCGGCAATATGCAAATTAGGTAAAGGCATTAATTAAGCATGTGAAAGGCTGATTTTTTAGGGAAAAATGGATAGTTAAAGGACTTAAACTAAAGCAAATTGTCTGAAATTTTGTACAGTAATTAAAACCCCAACAAATTCTCCATCTATTAAATCAAAATACGATTAAGTTAGATTCGTTTATTCAAATAAAACACTTTGCAGTCATAGACTGAATTATGTGAATATTTACAACAATTGAGTTTTATACATTATTACAACAATTTTGAATAATTAAAAATAAAAGTAACAGAGTAAGTCAATTTATCACCTAGATTAATTGTTGTTAAAATTTATATATTTGAGCTATGACCAATAATAAAAGCTTTTTTAAAACAATCTGTCTTACTAACAGGTACATTAAACCTTCGTTCACTCCTTAAATCGTTATGATGATGTGCTTGCGGTGGAAGTAGGCCACTGAGCTTATGATTCGGTTTATTAACAATATCTTCAAATAGATGACTTGATAGTTGTGCTCGTCTGTCGAAGAGAGTGGAAATGCCGGCGTCTTTTAGCGCGTTAGCATATTTCAAGTCCGGGAGGATGATACGCACAGCGCGCCTTTGGATACTCTCAAGTTCATTTGACAGATAGTTAGGGAGACTCCGATGAAACAACTGGCACGAATATTCCAGAAGTGATCTGATGGCACTACAGTAAAAAGTGATAAGATCTTTTGGACAGATCCCGGCTCTTTTTAATTTTCTCAAAAGATACAGTCGTTTTGCGGCTTTTACGGTGACAATACCGATATGGCCTTAAAATCGGCCCGGATTGTTACGCCAAGAATTTTGGCCACGCTAACTCTTTCTAACTGGAAATCATTCAGTTCGACCAAAGGGAATGATGGAGGGTTTCTCTTGAAACATGATCGTACTTCTTTACACTTAGTTGGTATCAATTGTAATCGATTTTCTTGAGAACATGCATCGATATAGTCAACAGCTTGCTGAAGAGAGCTTTGCTTGGAGGGTGATATCGCTTCAGAGAATGTGCAATCATCGACGAATTTCCACATAGGTAAGGATTGCTGAGGTAGCTTAAGATCATTGATTAGTACTAAAAACAACCAGGGACCAAGACGAGTTCCTTGAGGCACTCCTGCTGGAACGTCAAGCCAATCGGGAACGATGTTGTTTAGTTTAACCCTCTGCTTTCTATGTCTTAGGAAATCAATTATCCAATTGACGGCCGTGGGTTTTACGCCTACACTAAACAGTTTGGCGACTAAAATATTGTGGTCCACGAGGTCAAAAGCTTTGCGGAAATCTAAAAGTATGGTTCTTACATGGATGCAGTGCCGTCAGCAGCTTGTAACCAATTATGGAACATAGAGATTAATGCTAGAGTAGTTGACGATCCTGGGATGAACCCAATTTGGCCTGGGTCAATAATACGTAGTAGAACAGGTTTCAACGCAATGTCTATGATGAAGCTTTCAGCAACTTTTGGGAGGGTGGGTGTAAGTGCTCGCGTTGCGTGGACACGCGCGCGTGTACAGATCGGAAACGTTCGTACGTTGTCGTGCCTTTTTGGCGCGAAAGAACACAAAGAAAAGAACATGTTTAATACGAAAGGACAAGCTTTTCGTATTTTAAGATTTGTAAATTAAGATAAAGGCCGAGTCATCAACGTTGTTTACCCGGCCAAAACCAAGTAACCTAAAGATAAAACATGAATAAAGATTAATGAACATTTACAGTAAACAACGAGACTCACAAACGTGTATATTTCAAGTGTGAATATTTGTGAGTATGACACATTTTATACGGACAAGCCGATATATTTTGTGATTTACAAGAAGATATAAAGAATATAGTATGGCTATGGACCCAGGTGGTCATAAGACGGATGAAGTACGATCGAAAGTCTGCGAAAAAGACTTAGAAGAGAACATCTCGAAGGGAAAGAACAGCGAACAATTATTCGAAGACGAAGGTAATATTGATAAGTCCATTGTAATCAATACAGAAGACGATACGGGCCGGGAGTACTCGAAGCGTAGATGCAGAAGAACAACAGGCACGAATATGCACAAGAAAGGGCGTACAAGTAAACTTAGAAAATGCACGAAAAAAGACGAAAAAGTCAGGTATGGCTGTAGAATCTCGTATAAATCGTATAGATGAATTACTTAGAGAACAGTGTTGTGATATTGTGAAGCTCACTGCTAGTAAAGATGGTCTACAAATGGATATGGATGACTTTAAGCGATTTAATGAAGAGTTATCGGATTTGTTATTATTGTCTTTGAGTGATTATAATTCTAACATTGAGGATCAAGTGTATTTTGAGGGTATTCGTGAGAAGTACTTAGAGTGCTGTGCTGATGTTAAAACTAGAATAGGTGATTTAACACAAGAGAGATTGGAGATGCTTTCGCAGAAAACTTTGAACAGTGTTAAAAGTCAAATGTCGAGATTATCAAGGGCTTCATCTGTGTCGTCTAAACAAGCCGCTGCGAATGCTGCAGCATTAAAGGAGAAAATGCTCAGTCTTAAAAGGAAACAAAATATCGAAAGACAGCAAGAAGAGCTTAAACATCATCAAAGAGAACTAGAATGGCAAGTGGAACAAGAACAATTACAAGGTGAGATCAATGCTGCAGAAGTTTTACATCAAGCACTTTTGGGAGATACCATGTTGCAAAGTAGTAATACCCAACCTACATCTAACACTTTGCATGAAAATACCACTGAAATGAGTCAATTGCCAACTATTGCCAAGGATATGAACACTGGGACATCCAGTGACATGACAAATGCCCTAAATCCCACTGCACCCCTAAATCCCACTACACCCCCAAGTCCCACTACACCCTCAAATCCCACTACACCCCTAAATCCCACTACACCCCCAAATCCCACTACACCTTCAACTCCTACTACACCCTTGAATCCTACTACACCCTTAGATCCAACTAAACCTGCATTTACACCTGTTAATGCCCATACCCAACCTGTTAACCATTTACAACCAACTACTACTACAAGTCCCCTAGAGCAAATACAAAGAGAGGCATTTGAAATTCAAAGACAACAAGTAGAATTAATGAAAAGGATGTCGCTTCCGACTCCGAAACCGCTTGTATTTAGTGGTAACATTTTGGCCTACCCAAAGTGGACGTTAGCTTTCGATGCCTTGATTGACGGTGAAGCTCTAAACCCAGCACATAAGTTATACTACCTTGGGGAATATACTAGTGGACAAGCCCAGAAAATGATTGATGGATTGTTGGGGCTGCAATCTGATGATGCGTATAAGAGAGCTAGGCAGATATTGCAAGAACGCTTTGGTGATCCATACAAGATTTATCAGGCATACAATGAAAGGCTTAAGTCATGGCCAGTATGCAGCAAAGCTTCCGAGCTTCAGGAATTGAGCGACTTTCTGGTAACAGTGCAAGAAACTATGAAAACAGTGAAGCACCTCAAGGACTTTGACACCTTTTCTGCTATTCAAGACCTGGTAGTAAGACTTCCACCTTATTACAGCAAGAAGTGGTTACAAAGTGCGAAAGCGGTTGAGCTTGTTAAAGGAAAGTATGATTTTAACGACCTAGTTGACTTTGTGCAAAAGGCAGCAAAGGATCCAACTCATCCAGTGTTCTCGCATGAAGTTCTGTTATCTAAGAGAAAGGAGTTGTTGAAAGACAAGAAGCAAGAAGACAAGAATAGTTATCACAAGAGAAAGTTTGGCTCATTTAACACAAGTAAGTACAATGAAAGCTCTGGTCATAGTGATAAGAACATAAATGAACTCATGTGCCCTGCATGTAGAAAGCCTCACAAATTGGAGAACTGTGACATATTCCTAAAGAAGTCTGTAAAGGAACTATCAGAATTAGCTAAGTCGAAAGGGCTTTGCTTCCTGTGTTTATGTCATGGTCATATGGCCAGGAGTTGCAAAGAATCCATTAGATGCCAGACTTGTAAGAAACCCCATGCCACACTTCTCCATTTTGAATCCAAGGAGTCTAAGAACGGGAATAAGAAAGAGAACGAAGAATCTAGCAAAGAAAAGCCTAAAGTAGCTAATCGTGTCGTAGTGTGTCATAGCAATGATTGCAATGAAGTAACAACATCGTCTTTAATACTTCCGGTATGGATATGTCACAAGGACAATCCTGAGAAGAAAATAATGACATATGCTGTTTTAGATGATCAAAGTGACACATGCTTTGTAACGGACAGTGTTTGTGATCAGTTAGAAATTGAAGGACCTGAGACTGTGATTGAGTTAGGAACAATGCACGCTGTAGAAGATATCAGAACCCAGAAAATTAGCGGTCTTATTGTTTCATCGGAAGATAAGTCAGTAGATGTACCTTTACCAAAAGCTTATTCCCGTGAAAATATTCCAGCACGTCGAGATCAGATCCCTAGAGTAGAAATGGCGATCAATTGGAGTCATTTGAGTCCAATTACCAATGAAATACCAGAATATCGTGATGATCTCGGTATTGGTCTCCTAATTGGTAACAATTGTGTCGAAGCTATCAAACCACGTGACGTTATTCCCGGAAAACCTCAAGACCCGTATGCTATTAGAACTGTATTCGGTTGGGGTTTGATTGGAGTAACAAACCCTGTTGATCACCGCGAATGCCAATCAGACGGAACTAGAATACATTGCCATCGAGTTACAACCAAAGATATCACAACCCAGAGTACCGGTTCAACCTTTGTAGAGCAAACCCAAGTAAAGGAAGTATTGAAGCCTCACGAAGTGTTAAAGATGTTTGAACAGGACTTTTCGGAAAAGAAGAGAGAGAAACCAATGTCGTTAGAAGATCGAATGTTTTTGGATATAACGAAAAGAGAGATTCACGTTACTGACGATGGACATTATGAGTTGCCACTTCCGTTTCGAAACGACAAAGTTGAATTACCGTCGAACAGAAAGCTTGCTGAATCAAGGTTAGATGGCCTTAAAGCAAAGTTCGCCAAGGATGTCAAATACAAAAGAGATTATATGCAATTTATGGATGATATGATGAAGAAAGGCTACGCTGAGAATGCTTCACAGACTGATGGAAAACCGTGGTATATACCTCATCATGGAGTGTACCATACACACAAACCCAATAAGATCAGGGTCGTATTTGACTGCTCAGCCGAATATGAAGGTCAATCATTAAATCAACATCTTTTACAAGGACCTGACCTAACGAACTCGCTCACTGGTGTACTTTGTCGATTCCGCGAAGAAAGAATAGCGTTTACGTGTGACATCGAATCCATGTTCTGTCAGGTACGTGTGAATGAAGAGCATCGCGATTACTTAAGGTTCTTGTGGTGGCCTGACGGAGATACATCGAAGGAGCCCGAAGACTACAGAATGCGAGTCCACCTATTTGGAGCAACGTCATCACCCGGATGTTCCAATCTAGCGTTGAAAACCACGGCCAAAGCTGGTGAAGAAGAGTTTGGGACAGCTGATGAGGCATCCCGAGGTTTAAAGGCCTGTGATATTGTGAGCGATTCGAGGTGGATAAACGGTCCGTCATTTCTATACGAAGCTCACCAAGATTGGAATCATTTTAACCAACCGGATGACAAAGCAAAGCTGGAAACAGATGATGTCGAAGTAAAGAAAGTCACAACCTTTGCAACATCTGTGAAAAAATTCGCGGACGTGGTAGAGAGATTAGAATACTTTTCGAGTTGGCACCGAGCCAAGAAGGCCATCGCTATTTGTCTTCGTTATCGCAGATTGTTACGTCAAAGGGTACGTAAGAAAAGGGAGGGAAAGGATGTCGAGAACATTGAGAAAGCAGCAACTGTTATGAAACCTGACCAAGCTGTTACTGTGGAAGAAATGAATGCTGCTGAACGGGAAATAATCAAGGCACTTCAGAAAGAAGAAATGTATCTACGTAAGCATTGGCGAAGAGTTGAACATCTATGCAATGAGTTTTGGTCGCGTTGGAGAAAAGAATTTCTGCATTCCCTGCAAGAACGCCAAAGATGGCTCAAACCGAAACAGAATCTCGAAGTCGGAGATATTGTTATCGTTGCTGAAGAAGAATCATCCCGAAACTGTTGGCCATTAGCTCGCGTAGTGAATGCTGAGAAAGACGAAGATGGCCTAGTTCGAAAAGTAAAGTTGATGGTCGGCAAGCGGAGACTCACGAAGCAAGGAAGAAGAGAGAAGCCTCTCGTTAGCCTGGAACGTCCAGTCCACAAGTTGATATTGTTGATCTAAGGAGAAAGACCGGGAATCCCCGCCGAAGAGCCTGATGACAAATGATACAGACATTGTTGATAAACGTTAAGTTCATGTTATTGTTGTTTATATTTAGTAAATTCGAATTTCGAATTTAGGGGAGCCATGTAAGTGCTCGCGTTGCGTGGACACGCGCGCGTGTACAGATCGGAAACGTTCGTACGTTGTCGTGCCTTTTTGGCGCGAAAGAACACAAAGAAAAGAACATGTTTAATACGAAAGGACAAGCTTTTTGTATTTTAAGATTTGTAAATTAAGATAAAGGCCGAGTCATCAACGTTGTTTACCCGGCCAAAACCAAGTAACCTAAAGATAAAACATGAATAAAGATTAATGAACATTTACAGTGGGTGTTAGAGAGATTGCTCTTAAATCCTCACTGATATTGCAGATAGAAGATGCCTTAGGAACAGGACAGACATTGGCAAGTTTCCATGCATCAGGAACTTTACATTCCAATAACGAAGTATTTAGGATATCAGCAGTTGGGGCAGCTAGAATATACGCAAAATTTTTAAGTACCCAGTTAGGGAGGTTGTCGGGACCACTGGCACGAGAAGCATTTAGCTCTAAAAGCTCTCTTGCGACAGAGTGTTCAGTGACAGATATTGGTCGATCATCAGCCATTTCTACACGTATACAATCTGACATGAGAGGTAAATAATCATTCATTATGTTGACAAACGCCGAATTGATGTTTTCAGCCAGAGATTCCTTATCACAGACAAGGTTTGGATGGAGTAATGAGGTTAGGTTCCTTTTTGGAATTTTACTGGCGCCGCAAATCTGTTTAACTTCTCTCCACCAGTCACGGGGCTTGGAATCTCGTAAACCTTTAACTTTGTTAACGTAGTAGGATTTTCTGCCGCGTTTGCATGCTTGGTTGACTTTGTTTCTTAGAATTTGGTAGAGAGGATTGTTACCAGATGTAAAAGCTTTTTGGCAACGAGAGATGAGCTGTTTTAGATTATTGTTCATCCAGGGCCGATCTGATTCATGTATCTTGATGGTTGATACGGGCATGATGGTATTTAGGCCAAAATTTATTATATCTGTAAGGATGTTAAGTTAATCTTCACTTGACTGAGCTGGGGAGAACAAGTCAGACCAAGGTACTTGTTGAAGAAATCGACCAACACTTGCTATTTTACTGGGTCGTTTATCTCTCGTCGTAATTAATTTGCGTTTGGGCTTGGAGGTTTTATCACGAATTCTAGCCGAGATAAATATAGTTTGATGGTCCGAAAGACCAAATGCGGGTAAACTACACGGGGGTGAAGAATACTCTGTAAGGTTGGTAAAAATTTGGTCAAGAGTTCTATATCCTCTAGTAGGGAAGTTAACGACCGGTTTAAGTTGAAAGACTTTCACAGCAGACTAGAGCAAAAGGAGGAGCGTTTTGTTGAAGTCTCCAGCTAGTACGATTGCACAATTAGGGTATTTTATCTCTAAGATCTCCAAGGACGATATAAGGTAGTCCTTCATAGTGGCGTCGTCCGCGGCTGGAGGTTGATATACTACAGCTACTATGATATTTGAGATACCACGTGGTAAGCGTTTTGGTCGAAGATTAGCCCAAAGAACTTCATGATCACTGTGGTTTAGGTCTGCTAAGATCTTACAATGTATTGAATCTTTTACGTACATACATACGCCTCCACGAAGCCGGTTGGCACGGTCTCTTCTATAAAGTTGATAATGTTTGATATTAATAGAAATATCAGGGACGGTATCACGCAAACAAGTTTCAGTGAATAGGGCAATATCTGCATCAACGGTTTTGATGGTATAAGCGATTTCGTCGATTTTTGGAGCAAGCGACATCGTATTGGATAACAGAATTGACGGGACAAAATGTTTTAAGGACGGGCAATCATTTTTGATTATTTTAACGGGAATTAGGTTATGAACATTTCGCGTACGATTACCCATTGGGATTCTGGTATGAGGTTTGTGTATACGACGATTGGGGATTATTTTAATAGGTATATTAAAAGTGGCCTTAGCATTAATAGTAACAATGTTCGATCTTAAATTCTTGTCGATTGTTCTAATTCTGTTTTCTGCGTTAATTTGTTTACAAGGATCAGGTAGTTTCCCCAGTCCGGTGGCCGATTTGAAGAGCAATTCTTCCGAAAAATTTTTCGGTTAAATACAGAGGTATCTATATGTGATATGGGTTGTAGCATATAATTGCATCGCTTCGATTTGACTTGACTAAATCAGGTGTTTTTGCGGTTTCGGGTTGATTTTGCTTGTAGTTTTTTTGTGTGTTATTCCAGAATTATCAAGGACATCTATCATTCTGTAGGTGTGAGAGTGCTTAGTACGATATTCCTTCAATTGATCATCAAACGATGGGGGCATAGTTGACGGACTGTAATTTTGGTCAATGCCTGTACCGATCTCATCGACTGTGGTGGAATTTCCATTAGGTGAGGATAAGCCGGCTTGTTGATCATCCAAAATGGATATGACATTGGGATAGGAATTCGATAGGGTGTTATCAAGGCTAAGAGCCTCTGATGTTATACTGCCTTCCTCAATTGTGACAAAAGATTCTATACATGATTCGTCCTGAAAGTTACAAACCGCAAAAGGATTTAGGCTTTGATGCTGTTGTTGATTAGGTTCTGTTATTGACGGGGTGATGCTAGTTAGGTCAAGTGTTGAAGTTAGCGAGACGCTTGGTTGATCTGAGTGATTTACAAAATTTGCATTACACAAGGCTATCATAGTTTTTAGCCCTTTGCATAGTGTTTCGATAGTATTGATAAGACCATTGTTCTCATTAGCCGTTCTAACAGTACTTTCTGCAATGTTATTGTTATTGGTGTTGATGTTCTCGTTTGTGTTAACTAAACGATCGACCTGTTGAACAACTTCGCCGAGCTGATATTGAATAATGGCGAATTCTGCCTGAACTTGATTTATTGCATCGCCATTGATTCGATGCGGGCAAGCCATTTTTAGTTTGTTGGAAAAAGTTTGTTCACAAAATTTGAGTTCGAGAATTTTTTTTCATTATTCTACCTTATAAGTACCCAAAGATGCTATAGGCTATATATATATATATATATATATATATATACATATATATATATATATATATATATATATATATATATATATATATATATATATATATATATATATATATATATATATATATATATCAAAAACTAGATACAAATGGCTGTTTTGCGAAATTGAGAGCGATTTCAAATCTGTTCAGTTTTTTTTTATACACCCTAGGCCTGTATTACTCGACAATTTGCTTGGCGATATTCTCGAGGATTTTTATGGACGTATAGGCGCACGGAAGGAAAAAATTAGGGAGACGAACGGTCGATGGAAATCACCCGATGAATACAAAACTTGGGCCGCATTTTCCATATTCAGTTTGAAGTACAATTGCCTGATTTTTAAGTAAAGTGTCCGTGAAACCCTCCTCCCGTTGTGTCGTACTTGTTGGAGGTAATCATTATAAAAACAATAACGGTATATATCATGACTTTAATGGTTCATTGTCAAATTTTGGTCATGTAAGAAAAATATTGTCGCGAAATTTAAGGTTTTACTTGCATGGTCTGAAAACTGCTGGTAAAAACTGTTGTAATACTGCCAATTATTTGGGCCATCGACAAATCCGACTCAGAGTGACTGCACGCGACAGCACGACAATCCAGAAGCACCGAAATCTTGCGACAAAAGGAACACTAAAAACACAAAATGACCACTACGATTTTCTGTGGTATATATAGATGTGTAAAAGCCAAACATTTCCCAAGTGAACAGCGAAACCGATTGTCCGATCTGCATGGTTGGCCATGTAGGTTTTATAATCCTCACTGTTCAAGTTATGTAGCTACGTCTTACCTCAAGGAATTCCAGGTCTGAGTAGCTAGAATTTTAAAGCAGCCGTATTCGTGTCAATCTCAGATAGTCACACTCAGATCTTAAATATTTAGCTCAATGGCAATAATCAATTGATGCAGTATTACTCGACAATTTGCTTGGCGACATTTTCGAGGATATTTATGGACGTATATAGGCGCACAGAAGAAAAAAGTTATCGCCCGACAAATACAAAACTTTGACCTCATTTGCCAGATTCAGTTTGAAGTACAATTCCTTGATTTTTAAGTAAAATCTCCCTGAAACCGATTGTCCGATGTGGACAGCTTTAGATTTTATAATCCTCACTGTCCAAGTTATACGTCTTATTTCAACAGTTACCTCGTTAGCTACTTATAAAATTTGAACAATGAAAATTAAAAGATATTCCTACCTTATTCCATTTTCTCGAGAGTCTGCCATCGTACTTGCAACTGGGGTGCTTTAGCTCTGATATTAAAGTGTGCTTCATGGATATTCATATTCTCCATTCTCACTATACTAGTCTCAATTAGACTCTTCAGCAAGCACCCTGTTGAGAATTTCCACCTCTTCTGTGGGCATGGACTAAGGGAATTGAACTCAACCCGGGAGTTGAACTTAACCCGGGAGTTGAACTCAACACGGGGGTTGAACTCAACCCCGGAGTTGAACTTAACCCCGGAGTTGAACTTAACCCCGGAAATGAACTCAACCCTGTTGACCGGGTTGAAATTTCAACAGTCTGTAATAATAATATAAAACTCTATCAAAATCAAATGTGCAACTACATAACAAAATTGTCAAGCCAGGGCCCAGTTCAACCCCGGGTTTCAGTTAGCAGGGACTCAGACTTGGGTTCAAAATGTTGTCATGTAATTGTTCAACCCAGGGTTGAAATTATTCATGAGTTTTTCAAGCATGTGTGGTAGTACTATTTATTACAAGAAAACAACATGGAGGCCAAGGAGCTGCTTTCTTTTACTTCCGGAAACCAATGCCTGGGAATGTACAGCATTTCAACCCCAGGGTTGAAATCGTCCATGTAATTGCAAAAAAATTCAACCCAGTTAATAGGCCTGAGTTCAACCCCAGGGTTGAAAGTGCACCTTGTAATCAGCCCTTAATACCAAGTGCTGACAATGCTGAGCAAATTAGGCAAAGGATTGATAAATTATTGTATTTCATTTTGTCTCTATTTTTTATCTTTATCATGAAAAATAGCACCCCCCCCCCTGCACCCCCTCTGGCCAGGGCTAGGGTACACCCAGGGCTTGGGTGCTG